CTTTGGAATGGGGGTCGATTGGCTTCTTTGTTAGCCTGCAATGCCCCATACCTGCCTGTGGCTTTTAAAAGGCGGGACGTTACAGGCAATTGTTGACATGGATGAACAGACAAGGTCTTCTGTCCCCTGCAAAGGAGTTGGGGTTGTGATGATAGTAGGAATTAATCAACCCAATTGCTTCATTTTAGGTTTTTAAAAGCTGACCTCCTCAGCACAAGACTCGGTGGTACAGCTACACCTTATGGACGAAAGACATTCGTTTGAGGACCAGAATGTTCACATTTTGGACAAAGAAAATAGGTGGTATGAGAGGGGCGTGAAGGAAGCCATTTATGTTAAGAAAAACCAACCTTAAACAGAGGGGGTGGAATCAGATTTCAGCTTTCCTTCCTGCCCATCATCACAACCCAAACCCCTTTACAGGCGAACAGAACACCCCCCCTATTCAGTCAGGCTAACAATTCCCTCTAACAACCCCCCTTTCAGAGACATAGACAGGTATGGGGCATTGCAGACTATCAAAAGAAGCCCAATACCAATATTTTAACTTTTTTGGAATTAGAATGGAATGACAATATTTAGAAGGTGTCCCAGCCAGAGTCCAGACTTTAATCTGACCAAGGAACAACGGTTAGCATGATTTTATAGATTGAACCGCCGTGCTGATGAAAAAACGGGCAATATAAGTTGAACCTAACTTTAAAACAGTAACACCTACCATGGTGCTGCTGCGGTGGTCTTAGAGGAGGCAGCGGTGGAGGAGAGGACTTAGTTTGTCCAACGGAAGCCATGCTGACACACTGACACTGCTTGATGTTCCACGTCTGACCAGGAGGACACGTCCTGTTGACTATTGGACATCTGCAGAAAAAAAAATGTTCTTACTGCAAAAATGTCAAAAGAGGCAAAGGTTTGCGTTTACCTGAAGAGCTCTCCACACCAACTGTGGTAATCAAGACTATAACACCAGACAGAGCAGAACATTCGTTGATTTTCTTCTCTGGTCTCAAACATTTGCTTTTTTTTAAGCTTAGATTGATATATAAATGGTCTGTATCTGCTAACTCATCTACTATATCAGCAATAAACAGAAGAAGCAGTGCATTAGACGACTGCTGCCAATGAAATGTCTGGCTTCTGCATTTCCTCCATCAGAGAACTGTATTTCTGACTAATTACTGCATTCTTTCTAGATATTATAACTTCAAGCTTTGAGATCAAATCTCTCCTGTACAGCTTAGGAACTGTCTATTATTTAGCTTCAGATTTGATGGTACCTTTTAAAATAGCCAACATTAATCATCTTTGCTGGCTGTAAGAATTTGATTTGGTGAAAAAGTATTCATGTGTTTGTGTGAGGACAGCTTGCCCAGTGTCAGACCATGATGACACAAACATTTTCATTAGGGGAGGGGTCCCTGTGTTGGCAAAAACATTAGCTCTGCAGAAGCAGAAGCAGACTAACTAGGGAGAGGAAGGTCTTAGGTGACAATCTTGGACGTGTTTTCTTTGAGCTACACAAATAAATAAAAACATGCTCACTCGCTGAAAATCAAATTGTTGATATGGTAGGGTGACCAGACGTCCTCTTTTTCCCGGACATATCCTACTTTTCATACCTTAATATACCTCTATTCATGTTCTTGGGCCAGTGAACCAGTGGGCTGGTCTCTATGTCAATTTGATGGCATGACAAAAGTCCAGGCCAGAACCAAATAAGGCAACATGATGGCGTTTGAACTTCTCTGTATGTCCATTTCACCTACTGAACTATCGTTATTCATCTATGACAATGGAAATTGCATTTTATCACCCATTTAAATCTTAGTCTTTTGGTTGAGTCATATGAGTATCTTAGTAATGTTTTATCCTGGTTTACTAAAAATACACAACTGACTGGGTTGCAAGCTCAGCTCCATTAGACTGAAGGTCATTGTGTTTCTGTCTTATATCAATCCTATAACATAATGATGATTTGTCTCCAGTTTAGAAACTGGAAAATGAACATATTTAGAGTAGATGATTTGACCCAAAGTATCTATAAGCAGAAAAATGCAGAGTAATATGGTAAAAGCAGTTACTTGTTGTCTGAAAGCTGCATTAATACCAGAGTAAAAGTCAAGGTTCCTCTTCCTGCAGTTTTTTAATCATCCCCCGCCCTGCGATAGACTGGCCACCTGTCCAGGGTGTACCCTGCCTCTCGCCCGTAGACAGCTGGTGATAGGCACCAGCACCCTTCGCCACCGCAGCAGGGATAAAGCGTGACAGGAAATAGATGGATGGATATCTTCTAAAAGCCATGTTTTATCATGTCTGGTTTATCTTTACCACTTCTACCAAATACAGATAAGATCCTCAAACTGTCTATTCTGAACAATTTATGTCTGACAGCAAACTGTTGCTGTTGATAAAAATAATGATGGTGATGATGATAATGATGATAATGACAGTGATGATGATGGTGATGATGTTGTAGGATGGTGAGCAGTGATGGGCAGTAGCGCCGCTACATGTAGCGAAGCTATTAGTTTAACTACATTTTCCAGTAGCTTGACCGTAGCGTCGCTGCTTTATTTATCAAGTAACTTTCCTGTAGTGACGTCATTGTTTTTATCAAGTAGCGACGTAGCGTCCACAAACACTACAACATCCAGGGC